TAATGGCTTGTAACATCACAATATGAGAGGAAAAGCAATGTGCCGATTGTCTGGCTAATCTAGGGAGAAAGGCAGCTCCAGGAGGTTGTAGTTTTGGGGCAACCACCTGACTGTCTTGCACCGCTATTGAGCGCAAATATCTCTAGTATTAGATTTAGAAGGAAACCTAACTAATTGAGCTTCTCTCCATAGCACTAAAATAATATTAATAATAAATTGTTAATGAATAGTTACATAAGCCGTGTGGTAAAATGTGATTCGATAAAACTTTGTTTTATATATAAATAAATAAATATTCTAGAAAACGAGAGATGGAGTTAAAAAACTTGTTAAATCGTCTCTCTTGATTACCCTAGTCTCGACACAAATGACTTGCCTTTAACCAGATTAAGGAGAGGATTAGTCAAGGTGGACATAAATTGACCCGGACAACTTTGACCGTTGAATCCAAAAAAAAAATCGTCTCTCCTCTAAATTAATTGTAATAATATAGTATAAATATAGGTGATATAAGGATAGAGAACCATCACTCCTTTTTTGGCCAGTCCCTGTCCAGAAATGAGGGGCATTTTGAACATATATATTTTTGTATTGACATTGCAGGGTGTTTTTATCTTGAACCCAGTTGTGTTAGAGGTCGGACCAGACAATTAGGAGACAAATCCAACAAATTAGCAACTGAAAATGAGGAACAATGGAGGCCCATTTGCTCCCCTTATATTCCTTTGGCAGATAAGAATTGAACCATATAAGAACACCTTCTTCTGTCATCTAAAATCCTTAAATTTCATACCAGAATTTAATGCTTGTGGAATATGGAAGCCCCAACCCTACGCCAAAAAAAGTCATCAAGGTGACCATAAATGGTTGTGTCCTCGTGGGGTTTCCCTATAAGAGTGGTCCGAACATTAAAATGTTAAAAGACATTGACCCTACTGCTCTGGGTGTTCTCTGTTTATGCACATGCTACTTAACATACATGGAGATATGGAGGGAGAGAGAGAGAGAGAGAGATCAATTTTTAGTAGCTAGACAGCAAATTGTACTACTTGCCTCTGGGAAAAGGAACCAGCATGGGCATGTGACCATGTCTCCCATCTCCCTTGACCATGTGAAATGTAACAAGTTGGAGTCCAAAATGTATTGAAGCATTGAAGTATGTGTATTCGGATCCTCTTAATTTTAAATTTCATCAGCTTGAACAAATTATAGTGTGTACCGTAGAGTTTAATTAGTAAGTCTCATTAGTTGGTTTTGTGAGTTGTAAAGACTCCACTTGCTGAAAGTTGATAAATTTAACAGTGGATGAGTAAATAAGGGAATTTTATAGAATTTGAGTTCAAGAGGACTCAAATCCTTTTCTATATTTCAATAATTCACTTGATATTTGGATCGAGCAGATGCTTTTGAGGCCCATGCCTAGGTTTCATTTGAACTCCCCAAGTATCGTATAAACAAAAGTGGGCTTAGGGATCGAGAAGGCCCATACTGTTTACTATCATTTATGCTGGACCAGCCCAATTATCTGGTAAATAAAATATGGACTTTTTGAAAGTCGGTCTATAGTTGTAGACTTTTGGGACAAGAAAGACAGGTGCCATCTTTTTAATGCTTAAGGGATACTAATTTATTCTTAATGACATAAATAATTATATTACAAAATGGACTGTAACAGTAAGATAGTAATAATAATAGTAAAGTAACAACAACACAGTCACAATAACATTGTCACAATAATCAATAATACTCTTGTGGGTGGGGTGTAAGGTGGGCGATAGCTAGGAATAGAGGTGTTATGGAAGGTGGCAGGATTGGAGTATAGAGTGATGGTAGATTGAACAACAACATGATCACAATAATAATAACATAATTGCAATAACAGTCATAATCACTATTAAAATTCTACAGAATTAGACAATAACATGAACTAAACAGCCACACGATTACAGTAATAACTACAATCACGGTTAAAATTCTATGAAATTAGATAGTAACGTGAACTAGATAGTTACATGATCACTGTAACAGCCACAAATTTAGTGGATATTTGTCATTGTCCAAATTTCAAGGTGTGAATTTGAAATAAATTTTGCTTACTACAAAAAAAATAAAAATTGTCCAATTTAGTTGACCATCACTATAAACAAATTTGTTGTCTTTGAATAATTTGAGTTTGAAATGGAAATTGAGTTGTTAAATTTCTAATGCATTTCATCGAATACCATTTGGGCATATCAAATGTACAATAGGATGAAAAATACTGGTACCATATGTTACAGCTAATGCACGAATGAGGTGGGGGAGTGTGTATGTTTCTCTCCCCCACTGCTGTGTCTGTGTGTGTGTGTGTGAGAGAGAGAGAGCAGCCATTACTCAGGATCTACAATAGTGCATCACAAGTACCATGGCTGCTTATGGTGCCAGACATTCCACGAATCAAATTAAAACATTGTTATTTATGAGTCGTGCTCACAGAACTTATTGTTTTAGCTGATGTAGTTTTTGTATGGAACAAACTGGAAGGTAAAAGCATATTAGGCTATCCAGATGAATTCACTGAAATGAGTTCACTTCTACTGTGAGTCATATAAATTTTAATTAACAATGTTAGGGTTTAAGCATATTAAACGTTAGGGATTAACGTTTAATTGTCTAGGTTTTGGTACTGATTCAGAGAGAGAGAGAGAGAGAGAGAATGTTAGGGTTGTTGAGAAAAAATCGCCGATATGCCTGAATTCGTTGAAGTTGCTTTGCTTGAGAGAGAGGCGTACTAGAATCAAGGAAAGAAACATTGTGGTTGTTTGATTTGTATCTCGAAAACAGTAAAACTCTTGAGATGCTGTTTGGACTGCAATTTTCAAAAATAATTTTTAAAAAAAATGAGAATTGAGAACAAAAATTAGAGAACATTTAAATGTTGTTTTATGAGTTTTTAGGTCAAAATAGAAAACAAGGAAAACAACTTAACTCTTTAATGAGGTCTCCCCTTTGAATCCCCTTGGCAGCAAAATTAGTCATAGTATAAAATATTTTTTTTTATCCTTCCTCTTTCCCTGTCTCTCTCTCTCCACTTTGCCTCTCAAACGGAACGATCACAAACACACACACAACTAGCGTGCCAACATCTTCTCCGGCGAAAAGTCTTCTCCAGCAACTGAAGATCAGCTTCTCCGTCGACAAAGGGCTCTTCGACAACTGAGAGCTTCAGAACTAGGTTTTTTTTTCTTCAAATTTGGGTATTTTTTTAGATCTTGGTCTTCTCCGGCGATTGAAATTCATCTTCTCCATCGACTGAAATTCATCTTCTCCGTCGATTGAGGGTTCTTCGACAACTGAAAACTTTAGATCTAGGTTTTTTTTTTTTTTTTTTTTTTTCAGATCTGAGTATTTTTTTAAATCTTAGTTTTTTTTTTTTTTTTTTTTTTTTTCCAGATTTGGGTCTTTTTCGGCGAAAAGGTTCTTCTCCAGCAACTGGGTTCATCTTCTCTGTTGTGTACCAAAGGCTGTATGTTGGTTATTGGATTTTGGGTTTGTTTTCTTCGTCGTGTAACAGTTCGTCTTCTTCGTCTTGTAACAATGATTCAGATTTGCCTTTTTTTTTTTTTTTTTGCATTTTATCAAGTTTAATATATTAAAATATTTTTATATGAAATCATCAATCCAAACAGGTTTTACTATTTTCTATTTTTTAAAATTATTTTTAAAATCATCTAACCAAACAAATTCTTCGACTTAAAAACACTTTTCTAAAACTCTTTTTAAAAACTATTTTTGGATACTATTTTTTGAGATGCAATCCAAACAGGCCCATTGTTTTCCCGATCAATTCCTCGGCTATTATGGAATGGATGAGATGGTTAGATGTATATTTTAAAAACATATCTCATTTCATGGATATAATCCGGGCCTTGGAAGTCGGACATCGCTCTACAGTTTTCAAGTCGGCAACCGAGCCTAACACACCAGCAACCACATGCACGCATGTAATCAAAAGAAACATGACACCGAGCAATGCTATTGGAACTTAATTTACTGATTTAATTTGTTGACCTAATTCGCTATGATCTTTGGATTAACTGTGGACTCCATCAAACATTAGAATTGGGTGTTTATTCAATGATTTCAATGAAATCATGTCATTAGGTCAGCAAATTATGTCAATTTTTTATGTCCAAATAACATTTTTCTTAGCTCTAATGATGACCCATCTAAACCAAAATTCCACTCAATCTCAACTATAAAAACCCTCATTAATGAAGGGTAGAGGTAGTGAATTCTCTAAGAAGAATTAGTACTCATACACACATACAAAAGATTTCCTTCATGATTTTTGATTCGATACAACTTATTTACTGATTTATGCATTGCAGGTGGTTCGACAGGGACCATATTGGTTTCCTACTTAAAAGTTTTCCTGACTAGGTCTCTGGATTCATAAGCTAAGTCGAGGAATCAACGACCTCTGACATAACAGTCTCTGAGCAACGACCACTCCATTGAAGTCCAGAGCAAAATTATTGATTGATCCATCGTCATTGTTTACCTTTCCCATCAACTTTCTATTGCCGACTTCATTGGGCAGCCCATTAGACTTGACATGAACTTGATATTGAAGTACGACATGCAACTCATTGACGGCCTAGCATATGATATGAGGGTTCATGGCATATCAATGGTGAGTGCAAATTCTTTAAATCCCCCAATTTTCACCTAAAGATTATTTTGGACCGAAACTCATTGGCTGGGGATTCTCTAATTACGGTTAATGAGTTTCGGTCCATAATAATCTTTAGGTGAAAGTCGGGGGATTTAAAGAATCCAGACTCACCATTGACATGTCATGAAAGATTAGTCCAAATTTAGAGAACAACTCATTGATCCATATACCAAATTCCTAGGTACCTATGTGATATTATTGGGCCTTCCATTACAGCAAATACAACATATTTATTTCCAAAGAAAATACTTGCTTAGCCCCCCCATGCCTTCACCATAGCGAAATGGGTGTTATTCTTCCTAATCTCGAGTGCTTGCTCAGGCCTATCCACGAGAAAATATTGAGTGTTACGGTTTAACTATGTCACCATATTGATATGGTGTAATCGTCAAATAATAAGGCAACAAGTAGAATCTAATGATGCACAAAATTGGCTTGCACACTACTAGTCAAGTAATAGTATAAAATGCAGTAAAGTAGAAGGAGAGAAGAAACAGGGTTTATAGTGATTCGGTTAACTAGACCTACATTCACTTTCAATAGCCAAGTTCGTTGGGAATTTTATTAATTCCGATGTGTTGGGAGAGCAAAGAATTACAAGAGAGAAGAAATGAGCTTGATTTTTGTGAGATGCCCCCCAAATGTTGGTGGAGCTTACAATTTATAGAAGTCTATGTAGTAATTGAGTAGCTTGACAGTTATAACGGACTGAAGACAACTTAATAGCTGATGACCTCTCCTCTCTCTGGCGACCTCTCCTCTTCCTCAACGGGCAAAGGTATAACTCATGGATGCTCCCGTAGCTTCCTGATGGGCTTGACCGTCTTGGACCTCATATGACTTGCTTGATCTTCTATAAGCTTGGGCTTTTACCTATGGATCGGGCTTGACCCATTATTTTCCCCCCAATGCCCCATGTCCAGTGAAACTTGGAGAAGTGGGCATTCAATTGAATTTGAATTCTAACCCAAGAATACTCCTCACCCGCTATGTCCATGTTGCACTACGACAGGTGGTGGGGATCGACCTTAAAACGGTTTTCTGAATCACACCAAAGTTCCATCTCTATTCTTGATGTAGTTTTCCTTGCTGAACACCTCAAATCTTTTCCATTTTTACTTGGATTTTTAAGAGAGCCCTTGGTTTTGAATTGGGCTTTTTTACTTTTTCCTTGTTTTCAAAAAAACCCTAGGTATAAATTGTAGCTTTCTCCACTTTACTCATTCCATTGAAACTTGAGAAAGTGAAAAAGGGCTTTTACTTCCAAGAATCCTCCAAGGAATTGTGTTAGGAATCCATGGCGAATGAAGGAAGTAATCATGGGGTTGTTGCAGTGATCCAAGGAGATATGGAGGATGAGGTAGACGCCGACGTGGAGATGCTTAGAACGTCCGCCATCGTCGCTGCTCGCGCATCCATGGTGCTGTCCGATATGGGGGCGGCTATGGTGGAGGAGCAAGTTGTGGGCGCTGGGTTAGGGAGTTTTGGCGTGGAGTCCTGCACTGTGGGGCGTCTAGCACAGAGTGGGGTGAGTGAAGGAGGTGCTGCGTTGGGCGAACAGGCGCTGGGCGCTGCTGCTGTCCAAGTGCTAGGCGTCTTTGCTGGTCGCGTAGAGGGGTGAGCATATCACTTGGCAGGCGAGCAAGAGAGGGTGCTGGTTTTTGTAACTTGGGTGAACAGGAGAGAGGTTCAGATCTGGACGAACAGCTTGCTGCGCTGGGCAGGGGTGAGCGGTCTGCTGTGCTGGGCAGGGATGAGCGGCCTACTATGCTGAGCAGCCCAGGCGAGCAACCTGTTCACGCAGAGGCGATCAATTTGGACGTCCAGGCTGTGTGAGCAGATCATACTCCTAGAGACCTTTCTGGCAGCGGCTCGGGCAGAGCTTTACGCCCTCGCGTAAAAAAGTATCGAGGTAAGGTGGCTCTCGATGATGATGGGTCCAAGGTAATTACTATCTCTAGCACTTTAAATTCGGACGCTGATATTTTACGGATTGTTTTCACCTATCATATTCCTCCAACTTTGCTATGTCATCGAGTCGAGATGGGTGAGTCTACTTGCGATGACTCCTCCGGTGACATTGTTATTTATGAGGAGGTGTTTGAGGTTAAGCTTAGGTTCCCAATGCCTTCTCCCATTTGTGGCATTCTGAACTATTTTTCCCTGACACCTGGGCGATTGACGCCCAACGGTTGGAGAGTGTTGTTGAGTTTCTTGGTATTATGCACCATGAGGATGCTTCTCCTGAGGTATTCCATGCAGCTTATTACCCAAGTGAAACTCCTTCTCCTAACCGAGACTGATATTACTTTACCATGAGGGGAGACAAGTTGATTATCGGACTGCCCTCTATATGTTATAGCTGGAAACCTCGCTTCATATTTGTCGGTGGAGAATGGGCTTCGAATGCTAATAAGGCGTTGGTTCCAACACGATGGGATGCTCCAAAGAAAGTTGGTACGCCCTACATTCTTACTCCTCTCTTACCCCATTTGTTGTAGGCTGTGTACTCACTATATTCCTTGTAGGTGCCCTTGTGCTCTCCAAAGACCAAGAGTGGAAGCTACATGCTGTGAAGTCTTACTCTACAAGGGACTTTGAAGCTCTCATGTCTAGGGGTGGAGGAGTTATTGGCTCCTCTTTCGTTGGTGCCAGTGGTTCCTCTCCAAGGTTTAGCGGTACCTCTTTGAAAAGTAAAGGTATATTGATCCTTCTGTACCCTCCTCTTTCACTTTGATTTTTTTTTTTATCTCGGTGACACTTTATTTTGATTTTTTTTTCTCTGGAGCAGTGGATCGAGAGATGATTGGGTCTTGTTTTTCTAATAGGAGTCCTCCTCCTTCTAAGGTGGGGAGGATGGAGGATGTCTCCTAGGTGACCTCTCCAACTGTGCTGCCCGAGGTGAGCTCTCCTTAGTCAACCTCTCTAGTAGCACCTTCCTATCTAGTGGCCCCTCTAGAGGTGCCTCCTTAGTCAAAGACTTCTTCAGTTGCACTTCCTTCATCGGCTACCCCTTCTGCCCCCCATTCATCTATTCCTCCTGTGAGAACTTCTACTAGGGCACCCAACTCCATGCTGGGTAACGTGCGGGTCATCCAAGAGTGGCTTGGGAGGTTTATCTTTACCAATGATGTGAACAAGATTAGTTCCTTGGGCACCGAGGGAATCCTCAATTCTTTTTTGGAAAGTTGGGCTCAGGTAAGAGTTTGTTATCTTCCCCTTTTCTTATCATTCCATAGGTGTCTGACATCCTTTTGCCTTTTGTTTTTCTTTAGGCCTCCACTTTAGCTATGTGTTTACTTTCAAGGACCCTCCTTTATCACAAGCTGAAACAAGACCATGAAGTGGTGCAAAATGAGCTTCTTGCTGCTCAGAGGAGGATCACCGAGCTTGAAGCTTCTGATGCTGAACTTGTGGTAACTTGTGAGAGGGCAACTGGTCTTGAGATTGAGCTTTCGACGACCCATGAGAGGGTGTTCGGGGCTCGAGACTGAGCTTGTTGAGGTCCGTGAGAGGGCCACGCTCAGTGAGGTTGAGCTTTCAGCGACCCATGGGAGGGCGGCCAAGCTCAAGGCTGAACTTGTAGAGGTCCGTGAGAGGGCTATACTCAGAGAGGCTGCTGCAGAGGTAGAGGTGAAGGTAGCTCATGAGAGAGCTTCGCAGGCTGAGGAGAAGGCTTCACAGGCTGATGATAGGGTTGTGATAGTTGAGAGAGACTTTGAGAGTGGCCTTGCAGACTCCTTCATTGACGGTTATAAGGAGCTTCGGGGAAAGATTTATGTTTCTTTTCCCGATATTGACGTCTCAGGCTTCTTACCAACTGAGGCGCCGAATGACAGTGGTGGAGATTCTGACGATGCCGAGGGTGATGATGACGACCATGAGTAGTTTGCGTGCTGGAGACTTTTTGGGTTTTTTTTTTTTAAAAGGCATTTTGTAGCCATACTTTTGTAAAAGTGATTTTTGCCACTAATGCTACTTTGAAGTTGAGAAATTGAATATGAAAATGCAAAGATCTTTTTGAAGTAAATCTTTGAAATTTTATTCATTTGTCTGCTCATATAAAGCAATATCGGGTAATAGCCTCACAAAAGAGTTCAAAAAATAAAACCAAGTCCCTAACTTTTCTACTATCTCAAGGTATCATTGGTAGTACCTCTTCAAGTGCTCCGCGTTCTATGGATGGGGTAAAACTTTCCCTTTAGAATTCTAGATCTTATAAGTGCCTGGCCTCACCACCTCTGTTATGAGGTAGGGTCCTTCCCAATTTGGTCCCAGCTTTCCTTCCCGTGAATCCTTTATGGCGAGGATCACTTTCTTAAGGACCAAGTCTCCTGGGTGGAAGGAACGAGGCTTCACCTTCGAGTTGTAGTACTTTGCCATACGACACTTGTACTCCGCGTTGTGGACCACAACCATCTCCTTTGTCTCCTCTATCAACTTGAGGTTGATGCAGAGTCCTTCCTCATTGGTGTCCGGGTTGTGGTGTTGGACCCTTAGAGAATGCACCCCGATTTCCACATGAATGATTGCCTTAGTTCCAAATGCGAGAGAGAAGTGGTCTCCCCAGTTGGAGCTCTTGGTGTGGTACGGTAAGCCCATAACACATCTGGAACCTCGTCAACCCAAAGACCCTTCGTCTTTTCAAGCCTTGTCTTTAGGTTGCTGATTAACCCTAATTAAGACATAATTTAATAGGTAAATTGTGTTAGTTGAATAAAGTTAAACTAGTCAAAATAAATCAAATTAGGGTTAGTGTATGAATAAAAGATAATGCATTAATTGTTATTTTTTTTAGGGTTTTATGCATCAAAGCTACAAATTATGGGGAGTCAATTGCATTAAAGTTACAAACTATTTGGGTGCCAATTATCAAAGCTCAAAACAAAGGGTGATCAAAGAATTCAAGGCCACCAAATAGGACTTTCATGTAATTCAAGGCCACAAATAAGACTTTCATGTAATTCAAAGCCACCAAACAAGACTTTCACCCTCCCTTGTTGCCTATAAATACCACCCCTTAGGACTTGTAAAACATTCATATTTTGGTAGTGAAAAACCCACCAAAAGTATTATTGCTCTTTTGCTCATTCCTTTTTTTTTTAAGTATTGCTTTCTGTTATTGTATTATTGCTTTCTTTTACTTCCATTGTTGAGCTTCCTTCTTCCCTTATAGGAGTGAAACTCTTTCATTTTTCTAGAGCTTACCAAAGCAGTGAAGGGTGAAATGTGATTCACTCGTTCATTGTCGAAGATCAGCTCCTTGTGTAAAGTGTTTTACCTTGCAACTCCTCTACTTAGACTTTAACATCCCCACAAGTTCCAAATGTTCCCCCACCAACGTGTCAATCCTATTGATTTCATTTACTTCCTCATCATCACCCGGTTGCTTGGCCAAGTTGAACACATTGAGCTCCAATGTCATATTCCCAAATGTCAACTTCATTAGACCGTTCCTGCAATTTATCATGGCATTAGATGTAGCAAGGAAGGGTCTTCCAAGTATTACGAGAATTTGGGAGCTAAGGTTTGCAACAGGGTGTGTATCAAACATACTGAAATCGATAGGGAAGTAAAATTTATCAATTTGAACTAAGACATCCTTAATTACTCTCCTCGGTGTATGGATACTATGATCCGCCAATTGAAGCGTGATTGAGGTGGGCTTCAACTCCTCAAGCTGCAGCTGTTGGTACACCGAGTAGGGGAGAAGATTCACACTTGCCCCCAAATCGAGGAGTGCTTGCTCCACTCGACAATTTCCAATGGTGATGGCTATGGTTGGACAACCGGGGTCTTTGAATTTAGGAGGAGTGTTGGTCCTCAATATTGAGCTCACTTGCTCGATGAGGAATGCTTTCTTGTGGACATTCAGTTTCCTTTTCACCATGCATAAGTCCTTCAAAATCTTAGCACATGATGGAATTTGCTTGATGGCGTCGAATAGTGGAATGTTAATCTTCACCTGCTTAAACATTTCCAAAATATCATCATAATTAGCTAGATTGAAAAGTGGCTTCAATCGACTTGGGAAAGGGACAGACATGGGAGGAATAAACACACAATCATCAATTAATTTTTCTTTCTCAACAACCTCTCTTTCTTTCTCTTCACTCACCTCACTCTTGTCGGCATCACCCAAGATATCTTTTTCTTTTGGCAATGTGGTCTTGGGTGAGACCATTGACAAAATGATTTTGTCAATTTCTTTGCCATTGTGGAGGGTAGTGACAATTTTGAGTTGCTCGCAACTCTCTCTCGAAGGTTCCGATGACTCAACAAAGTGTTGACCCCTAGGGTTCTCTTGTGGTTGAGCGGGGAACTTCCCTTTTTCTTGTTGAGATGCCCCTATGGAGTTTGTCAACTTTGTGAGTTGGGCTCTTACATCATTGATGGTTGTGACATTTTGGTGATTGATGGCGGTTTGGCTTTGAATGAAGGAATGAACCATATCCTCTAAATTCCTTTTGTGAGGAGGTTAGTATGTGGATGGATTGGACGGTCCTTGAGAAAAACTTTGTAGAGGTGGATTTGGTGAAAAATTCTGTGGTGGTGGGTTTGACGAATACCCTTGTGGATTGGTCCAGAGGTATTGAGAACTAGATGCTTCCCCTTGGCCAT